ATTGCATTTCAGATAACGAAATTTTAAGTCAAGTGAAATGTTACACAGTGTAATTCCAAAACAGATTAGCAGATGAAAATTAACATTTAGGTGCTGGAGGGATGGTTCAGTAGTTCAGTCATTGGCTGCTCTTGCAGAGGACCTGGATTCAATTCCCAACACCCACATGGCAGCTCACAACTGCCTGAAACTCTAGTTCCGGGGATCTAATGCCCTCTTCTGGCCTCTATGAGCACCAAGCACACGTGTGGTGTATAGATACACATGCAGCAAAGCATCCATACACATAAAATGGTAAAATATTTTTAACAACATTCAAATTATAAACTCTAACAAAATTAATTTAATCATGTGTAATGTGGTGGCACATACTTGTAATTTCAGCATTTGAGAAATGGAAACACAATGACCATGGGTTCAAGGCCAGCCTGGGCTTCACGAGACCTTGTGTCCAAAAATAAATAAAATTAAAATGTAAAATCATGCTTTAAAAAAAAGTGTATGAGTGCAGGGCATGGGTCCCTTAGCTCATGTATGGAGGTAAGAGGATAACTATCAAAAGTCAGCTTTCTCCGGCTGCATTCTGGGATCTAGAGACCAAACTCCTCTCATCAGGGCTGCACATGACTGCTTTAGTTCGCTGAGCCATCTCACCAGCCCAAAATACATTTTTAAGTGGGGGGAAGCCATGATTTGTTTTCCCTGAGACATAGTTTCTCTGTATATCCTGGAACTTGCACTGTAGACCAGGCTGGCCTTGAATTCAGATACCCACCTGCCTCCTGAAGGCACTAAGTGCAAGCACTCTAGTCTCCAGTCTAACCCCATGGAAGGACAGGGTCCACCCCCCACACACCCCCATCCCCTACCACCCCCCTCGGAGAGCACAGCAGGAGAGCTGAGCACCAGTGCTCTCCTTCCGCTCCAGTCCACAGAGGAAGTTAGGCTTTCTCTTCAGAGACAGGCTCTTGCCCACATCCCTCAGGCCAGCCATGACTCAGTCTTCTTCCCTTAATGTGCACACCACTGCACCCAGCCTGAATTGGCTTTATAAAAAACCCCAAAGTCTCATCTTTGTGTGAAGTATATTTTGTTTTGAAGCAAGCATTTATATTGGGTTACAGGAAATTTATAGCCAGTTGTTTGTCAGTTTCAGCATTGAACTGTTTGGTTTTCTGTAGTTTATAAGTTAGTTTGGACAAGGGTGTC